TACACTTCTTCTAGTCGACAGTCTAATAGTATCCATTCCGGTCGGTGTTCATGGGGTATGTGGGTGTATGTGTGCATCTGTAATTATTGAGTGGTATCTGTGTAAAGTAATTGAGCATTGTCAACTACAAAATGTTTGTATTTTCACAAATCTTTCATTTATTATACCTGTACACGTCTGTGAATTTGTGCATGTCATTTCATAGTTATGTATCAGGGAGACAGATGCTCTTTCTAAGTGAAACATTTTCCACGTGGACCCAGTTTCGTTTTTAATCATCACAAACTACTATTCATAATGCTAGTCTTGTTCCTTTTCATTAGATTGTAGAAGCTTTTAGTATAGTTTCACAGTGTTGTTCAACATTATATATGAGCTGAACCATTTCATTATTGATTGTTGTGACATGAAATTGATAATGTCAACTATCCTTTGATATTTCTATCATTAGTGCGAACATGTTGTGTGCACTAGTTGAAGTGAAAACGCATACTAAACCGATTTTAATTCATGTTTACAAAGTGTTGATCTCATTCTCACTGGGAAGATCCTTCTGAGGGGAACTAATTTACTCGAACGAAACTTCTGCTCTCCTGATACATAACTATGAAATGACATGCACAAATTCACAGACGTGTACAGGTATAATAAATGAAAGATTTGTGAAAATACAAACATTTTGTAGTTGACAATGCTCAATTACTTTACACAGATACCACTCAATAATTACAGATGCACACATACACCCACATACCCCATGAACACCGACCGGAATGGATACTATTAGACTGTCGACTAGAAGAAGTGTAGTTCCATGAGAACTCAGCTTACTTATCATACATCCAACAGAATAAATCACCAGCTTCATTTCATCTTCAGGTAGGTCGAGAAAAGTGTTGAACGATGAGGCAGGCTTCCTTTCAAATTCAACTCTCATCTGGATACATTTAGAGAGAGGGTGACTTAAGTGGTTGTGTAAGAGTCGAATGCTTGTAGTGTGCACAGAAATGAGTCAGTGAATGACAGTCAATATCTGCTTTTGATCTTTGTTGATGGTAGGTATTTATCGGTCAAGGATTGTGACATGATGAGTCATTAGACTGACGAAATACTGTGTTACAATTTGTTTGATGTTGAATTAATGAAGCGAGTCACTGAGAATCTCAGTAAGGCTGAACAAAGCCTTAGATAGTTTAGATCATTCACAGTTAACTCTTGACTGTAAAGATAGATGTCCTTCAGTATGTCAACATAGTCTAGGAGATTACAGGTTGTCTTCTTCTATACTTTAATTTTTGTTTCAAACTTCCTCTCATGAAATTTCACAGCTTATCTGGAATGCTTATTTGAGTAAGAAGTAATACAGTTGCCTTGTGTGTACATTTGCAAGCACACAATAAAATCCTTGCAGTGCCATATTAATTGCCATTCATTAGGGCAACATTAGGATGTGTTGTCCTAGTTTGGGACTTTATGGTTGAATACTGAATAGTGAACCTTATTACCTGACACCTTCAGTTCCTCTAAGATTACTGTTTTGTTCATGGTCATCATACAGTCACTTTGTTCAGAAAGGTTAGATCACAAAAGTGGATCAATTCAAGTAACCATATCACGGAAAGAAGAGTTGGTCAGATTATGAGAGGAGAAGAGGGATGAAAAAATGATGGTTGGAAGATATTCACGCTTCTCAGGATGATAAGCGCTCTACACATTCCCCTAAATGCGACATGTTTTGAACCATATTAGCAAGAAGCTGTGAACATTGATTTCTAGCACTTCTAGGACCAGAGCCAAGCAGCCTACACCTCTCAACACAGTTCATATCAACAGTTAGAAATTTAATGGATTAGTGACACGCTCTGACCTGGCCGCCGTCAGCCTTCTTCTAACTCAAACCTACTTACGTTAGAGTGATGCGTCGAGGCAAGCATGGAATCAGCATTTACAACATTTGTCTACACCACTCGCCTTGGTTTTTGTCTAGTTTACTGTTCTTAAGCTCCAGTTTGACATCGATTAACTATAGACTCTAGGAATTTAAACACAATGAAATTGAAACTGGAGGAATCCTCAGTTTTCCTATCAACCGTAGTTACTGAAAAGATATAGACCATTCTTACAGGGCTACCTCCGATTCCTGTTTAATAGCTAGTGTCTCAACCAATCCAATAAATGATGTTCAAACCTTTTTTCAGAAAAATATATCTGTAGGCAGACCGTAGAGTTATTTTGCTTTGCATTTTTTCAGGTATAATACAGCCTTCTCAACTTCAGTGAGATTTTAAGGACATATCTTATTCAAAATGAGACAGAATGATAGGCAATCGAGTGGTTACTGTAGGCTAAATGAAGTGGTTTTCGAAGCGTTTCCATCAAAATTCCAGTCCTCTCTCCTGAAGGGTTTTCACCGACCTGTTCTTATAGATGATAGCTGGACTGATCGTAGTCTTTTCGGGCCATACTGTATGATGAAAGTAAATAACTACTGATTTTAGTGATGTTCTGAAGCCTTCTCCAACATTTTTCACTTTTATAAGTGAATACTTCTTGTAGTCATCGCGAAAGCTCTTAGGCAGCCTAAATATAATCTGCTTTCATTCATCATAAGTTAGCCTGTGCATTACAGTTTACTAATAATATATCAAGTTGATCTCCATCCAGGAATTTCTCATCATTGCCTTAACTGGTAGGAAAAACAAACACTGTACTTAATAGTGTATTAATTCAATCGAAGTATTTCAAGACTAAATTAATATATATTTCTTTATACCTCATGAAGACGGGATTAGCCAGTAACACGGCTGAAAAAAGGCCAACCAATAGGAAGACAGCAGTTTCAGGAGTGTTTAAAGCTAATACTACTACTACTACTGATGGTAATGATACTAGTTACAATCTTTTTCTGAGCTGACACAAGAAATAAAGGGGTTTCTCATCGTTGATTAGACAGACGTGGAACTACAAACTATGATGTAATAATTATGTCCATAGCACACAGTGTGACCATCATAACTAAATGAGACTAATATGACGCATTAGAAAGCAGATACATCCATATGACAAATCTCATATAGGATAAAACGTGCTTCATAGATTCCGGTGTTGGCTACTATTCTAATACTGAGTTTGAAGACGACATCTCTTAGCATTTATATTTTGGATTATAATGGCTAGTTCATTAGGCATTTCAATACGATAGACCGTCACTTCACTAATCCTTTTCATTAACATCTGACCAGGTGAGGAATCTTTGCTTCAGAAATTTCATACACATAGTTCCTTTAACTGACTAGAATGGTATAATCAGAAAACCATTAACAGAATAAGATGATGTCATGATATTTCACTTGATTTTCATCATGTCCTATAAGGCAAGATGAAGAATACTCAGAAATAAGTGATATAAAATTAGAAATAATTAGGACTGGTTACGTAATCACTTGAAAATACCTTAGCCAAACGATTAGTAGTTGTGATAATTCATATAATAGTAGCAAATATATTAAAAATTAAACGGTAACCAACAAGCATATACATGGGTATAAGCGTAAAATGAAGGTTATATGCAGCTGATAAAAATCTTATGGGACAAGAGGGCGTCATCTTATTCTGCAAATTATGCTCTAGTTTGCGCTATTTTTGTAATGATCCGATAAAATTAGTGCATGCAATATCGTATAGGCTGTTTGATTATTATAAGGGTGAAAGCTTTTCCTGGACGCCTGAGAATACACTCAAATTGCCGAAGTTTAAAACCCTAGATAAAATATTTGTATAACTGATCCCTTTGTAATTCATTTTTAGAACGCAAATCAATATATGAATTGGTAAAAAAATTTCAATCATCTATGTTCACCTGAAAATAATTATTCCTTTTTAAAACAAAAACAATCTGGAATAGTTGTAGAAAATTTTTTTTTTAAAAAAAGAACAATCATTCCAAAATATTTTAAGAAATTGTGTTATTCACTAGTTGGTTGACCTAGATACATTTAATACATGTAAACTTTATTGTATGCTGCATTAGCTACGTTTAAGAATCCACTAATCGATATTTGAGTTATGCCTTATCAGCCTTAGGATCATGTTAAAGAAACTAGTCATAGTATGTAGGAGAAGTATTCTTTAAGGTCAGTTTACCTGACTAGGCAGGATTATATATATATATATATATATGTATATATATATGTATATATATATATATATATATATATATATATATATATATATATATATACATAACCTATAAAAATCAGGACTACAGATCTGATTTTAAAAGCTGAATACTTGCTGCTAACTAAATTTCTCTGTTTTTTCATCATTTAGTTGGTGAAACATAACGTTGACAATCAAGAAAGAAGACTCACTTTTACGTATCTAGATAACATTCTTATGTATAAAAGATGTCCTTAGTAGATGTACTTTCTTCCATCGTCTTTAAAGTATTTCAATATTCGGTCACGCAGATAAAGATAACATTTCTATAAAATGTTCGGTGCACGTTTAGTACTCTTCAATGAGGTGAATCTACAACCATGAGGAAACTAGAGTTCCCTCAGTGATTCTAATATCTATTGCTCTGTATTGAATTTATAGACTTTACCTGTAGGATATTCAAGCCATGATTTACCCTTTTTAGACATTGAGTTGTGTACACAAGTTGATCATCAGTGGAAAGCCGATGTGGCTGTCTGGTTCTTAGTGCTTAGAACTGATTGAACATCTACTGATAATAAAAAAACACAACATATTTACTGCAGCCAAAACCTTGTCATTATATAACAGTTATGGTTTAATGAACGACTTCTTGTTAAATATTTCGCTTGAAAAATTGAATTTCAACTGTCCGCTTTCAATACTCACTAACGCATAAAGTATATTCACTTAAAATGAAAAATTAACACAATAATACTGTTACCTGTACAAGCTTTTTTTCTATACAAATTGAAAATACTAAGTAGTTATCAGTGATAAGAAAATAGGTTATTTTAATACAGTTAAAAATCTTTCGGTAATTCTGATAACCAATGATTACGATAGTCTTTTACTTGAGACGTCTGTGATGTATTTGAATGTAGCATATGTAATGGTGTTTGCTGAAGATCAGTTGTTGAATGTTCATTTTCAGTTTTATTTATCTTTTCTCGTTTCTTATGCTTCTTTGTACCATGGACAGTGTCTTTTTCATTCTGTTCAATAGTAAATTGATCAGCCAGTTGAGATTCTTGTTTTGTTAGCTTCGAATTTTGTTTTTTTTCTCTTCCTTTATAATCATCATGCGAATTTTGTTTAAAATAACCTTTAGGTTTGTATTGGTCAATATTATCAGGATTATTAATATTTCCCTTTTCATGGTGTTTAGCAGAATTCAAAGCATTTTCACTTCGAAATTGTAATAAGTCAACAATTGCTTCATTCAAGTCAAGTTGGCTTTTCTTTTACATGTTGGATATACCTGTGAATGATTTTTGTGTGAGATATGATCAGATAGTGTCTCATTTGTATTTAGTGACAGTTTTGAATAATATTTCCTACCGGCTTCACAATTACTTAACATTTGTCCAGCTGATATTAAAGAATCCTCTCTAGGTACATTGTAGTCATTATGGCTTTGTTGTTGGTGATCATCGTCAAAAGGGACAATGTACAGGTTAGTTCGATTAATCCACTCTTGAGTAATAGAAGTTATAGGGTTACCGGTTAAACTGTTGAACTCTTGATGTCGATGATGACGATGACTATCATGGGGAGGAGGTGGAGGAGGATTATGAGTAAATTTTAACGGTTCAGGTATTTTCTTCAGGATGCTTTCCGTTTCTCTTGGATGCATTGAAGCATAGAGTAATTTCAGTGCAATATGCTCATAAACTTTTAAAATTTTCTCATCATAACGTTCTGGATCACGTTGCAATAACCGTCTAACATACTTTTCATCAATACGCATAAAGAAGCCACGAACAGCATTACGACCTTTTCATCAGTCAATGTTTCAATACCAGTTAACGTTTGATCAATAATACTTTTGTTTAATAAATTAAATAAACTGAGTGTTTGTTTATCTTGTTTACGAATTTTTAATAGCCTAACTAATGGTTTGGTTGTTAAACCCATGAATCCTACAGTGAATAAGATGATGAACAGTGTTGCAGTGACAATAACATTCTTATGATATTGACCATTGATTGGAAATTTATCTTCAGAGATGAGTACAGCTAAAGCAAAGGCGACAGCACCCCGTAGACCACCATAAATGAGTACAATCTGTTGGGCTAGTGTAATCTTAGTCTCATCAATATTCACATAATTAACAATGGCTGTAATACTGAATATGACTATTGATCTCGATAACAGACACAGAATTGTACCCCATATTATGAAACCTGTATGCCATTCTAATTTGTAGGAAATCACTTGAATGCCTAAGAATAAAAAAATCACAGCTTCACTAACTTCAGCTAGCATTTTTGTTAATAGGTGTACACTTTTCAAATACTTCTCACCGATATTGTGAAATGCATAAGCAGCTTGAATTAGACCGCAACCGATCATTGATATGATACCTGACCAACCAACACAGTCAGCCATGATGTAAGAGAAATACGCTAGTAACAACATTGTGAATACAGTTAAATGACTACGAATCCTAGTAATCAAGCAAGTCAACACACCAAACAGAACACCAATTAGTAGACCACCTAAACTAACAGTGAAAAAGGACATAACACCAATGAATATTTGTTTTCCGGTAACCTCCTCTCTTCCAGTGAAAGCAACCATAATATCATAAAGGACAATAGTGATGGCATCATTGAACAATGACTCACCGAAGACAATATAATATAAGCTTAATTCCACACCGATATCTTGAAAAATGGCCAATACAGCTACCGGATCTACGGCAACAATCAGTGAACTGAACAACAGAAATCCTTTTACATCAAAATATAGTACTGGATAACCTAATAGACCAATGCAAAATAATCCATACATTAGGAAACCGATTATCAAGAAATTGAACACTGTACCCAATACAGAGAATAACAGCACGACACCAAGGTATTCAGAAAATGTTCTGTTATACAAATTATAAGCTGACTCCAATATGATAGGGGGCAGTAAGTAATAAGAAAATAACTCTGGTGTGAATTTCCAAACTGTATTCTCAATTGTACCCGCTTGTGCTTCATTCTCATAGATCACAATGGCACCAAATGTTATCCCAATAATAATCAATACTAATGATTCTGGTACATAACTTGATATGTAAGGAATATGATGATAGGCTAACTTGAGTAGTACCAAAATAAATAAAAACAACATTACGTTGATATGTGTTGAGAATTCATGAAACTCCCATTTAACGACTGCAATATCATTGTGAGTTGTATTGTGGTTAGTCTCAGCGAAAACCACTGCATGTTGTACAATACAGGGCAAAATGAGAGAGTAATATAATAATGTCATACTCTGTGATCTATAGCAAAAACTGGCAGAAATTGACATGTTTATATTTGTGTTTTAATTATGTGAATATATCAAATTTTATAAGTAGTATAGTTAGTAGTATTCCCAGATGATCAAGAAGAACTGGACAAAGTTAAAAGTCACATTTTCAGCTGATTTGGTCGTAAAATAATCACAATTAAATACATACATGTACGCATATGTAGCATAAAAATTCTTCTTTATATGTATACTCACACTTTATACATATATATATACTCACCAATAATCACGCTCACACAAACATATCAAAGTTTATAATTCATTTGTTTATTAACGACCTAGTTGGTAATATGCTTATTTATTATTATTGTTATTTTTATTATATTGCATCAGGTACATCGATGAAATCCATTATTTGAATAGTAACGAAGGTAACTACGATATCCGTAAACGATGACAGAATTCGTTTCTTTTAATGTATACTACTTTCAGCGACATCAATATTTTCTAGATGTACGCTTAACATTTTTGCATGCATCCATCCATCTGTCTATGCATTTATATTAATGTTTTACTGTGAATGGAGAAAATTTCACTTTTCATTTCGAATAAAAATATTTACATTGGACATTTAAACCTACATAGTTTTGTTTTATACAACTAATAGATCTCTTGATTTGTTGATTCATTTTGATAATGGTTCGAGGGAAAATGAATAACTCAAGGTCATATATACATATATAAAAGCAAATCTGCATCCACCAATCCTATTTAACTGTAATCAGGGCGTGTCAGTATACTTGTGTGAAAGTGTTTTTGTATGTTTGATAGAATGAAAAGAAATTTGATCCGCTCAAATTATAATTTTTGCTACTGTGGCGATTGACAGCAGTCACATTACCACTGCAATTTTTAGAATCGCCTCAGTCTACGATTAATCAAAGCCTTCAATGTGTATCATAAATAATAGGGTATTTATAGACGAATATTTACCAAAATTGCGAAACAGACCTTTGAAAGATGATTTTTTTTTAAATAACGAATTTAATTGTTAATATATTAGCCATACGTTTTTGGTCTATATTAAGTATCTCCTCGTTAATTTAATTCTGAACAACTTAAACAGCCATTCATCTATCAATTTATTTCACCTATTAAAATAAAACTGGCAACTTTATTCATTTTTTTGATGCATTATTGACTCCATAAGGAGAATTAAACATAAAAGATCGATAACTAAAAAACAGTATACAAACTTTCTCAGTTTCGTATTAATCAAGTACAAATGCGATATAATCAAATTTTCAGCATTTAGAGTAAGATCAGTTTACTTTGAGGAACCTGTGGTGAAAGAACTGTCGTACATATATGATATTCTAAGTGAAAATGGCTATCCTGAAGAGTTCGTGAAAGTAAACATCGTCTATATTGATCTCTAATGTGAATCGACGACAGCGGAAAATAAATACAGATTTCTTCGTTTACAATTTGAGAGTGATACTTAAAAAAATATCCTATCACTACGCATAATTAGATCAGTAAATAGCACGTTATACTAAGCACGCTTAAATTATTATTTTTCCCTTGGGTTCCTAGTGGAACATAGGGATTCAGTAGCACGCCTCCATTCCACTCTCTTCTCTGCAGCCATATGAACCTCCCTCCACGACTGTCCAAAACCTTTCATTTCTTCCTCACACCATCTCCTCCATGTCACCCTCTACTCAGACGCCCAACTCGTTGTTACCCCTTTGGATTCCACTCGAGGGCCTGACCTGGCGTGTGATGTCCCCAGTCGGCCTTCTCAGTGTATGTACAATCCATCTCCACTTCCTTCTGCATATTTGTTGGGTAATAGGTTCTTGGTTGATTCGTTGCCAGCCAGAGTTCCTTGTTACTTATTCCTATTATTCTGGCCATCTGATCTCCATCTTCAGTATCGAGTGAGCGTAGACGAAAGTTGTTGATGAATGTCTGAAGTTTGTTGGAAATGCTTTCCGTAAAGCTCTAACTCCCTGAACCATATAGAAGTACTGACTTGACTGACATTGGTGTTGAAAATCCAGATCTTGTTCACGTTTTATGCTGAGTGCAGTGCAGAAGATCTCCACACTGGTTTCAGATTAATGAAAGCCTGTCTTGCTGTCTTTCCGATCCTGGTTTTGACATCCTCGTCTGTGTCGCAGCCTGTAGTTAAAACGATGCTGCCCAGGTAGGTGAAGGAGACAACTTCCTTTAGGTTTCTCCCTCAGTTTGGAGAGTCCACTCCCATTCCATCTGCTTTCGCAGATTCCAAGTACTTCCATTTCATACCTCCTCATCTGTTTTGCAATCTGGGCTGCCTTGCCAGTCAGCTTCAAACATTGTTCCGACATTCCATGTCCCCGTCCTTACTTTCGCTTTCATCCAGAGAGAGAGGAAACACATCGTCAATTGGCTCCCCGAAGGCTTTCACCAACTGGCGTCATTTCGTCTCATCGATTCCAGCGAGGAATAGGTTTGTTTTTTATTTTTTATATTTCCCTCGTGCTTTGAAATTTCTATAGCGATTGGATTGGTTTTAAGGGGTCGGGTTGCTAGCCGTGTGCCCAACCTTCCCTTTTTATCCGGACTTAGGACCGGCTAGTAAACAGTGAACAAGTTAATCAGGCGAGGTTCAGCAGGCTTATGCATATCGGTTAATAGTCGTACAATGTTCAATTTAAAGAAAATGGATACCATACTTAGTGTTAACACTTCAGTTTAAATGCTTTCGTGGGACAAGTTACACGGAACAGATGTGTCTCTAAATATCAAAACATTTTATGACTTGATTTTGAAAAGGTGAAGTTAAGGTGATAAAAAGCTTTATCTTAGTATAATTGGTAGACTGCTAGCACCACGTACATGGTAAAACGGTTATTGCCGTAATACATAATGCAACCAACATTTTGCCACTTGTAGCTTGCAAACCTCTTGTCTACATAGCTGAAGCTGTAGCTGTAAAACAAAGGAAACCTGAACTCTGCATTTAGAAGGGAATGAATTCAGGTGTCACTCTTCAATTCACTTTCCATTAACTGAGTTCTATTCCCCTCATCCTTGGATCTTTCCTTCCTATGGCATCATTTTTAATCTTGGTAATTTTTTCTTTATCCCAGCAATCCCTTTACAATTCAGTTTTATTATTACTGTAGTCAAATCTCTATATTAACGGTCTTCGTTTCACCCTTAACATTACCAAGATTATTATGTTATTCAAGTCACTTTGCGCATTGACCAATTCATAATCAACAGTGTGCTTCAGTTCGACAATCCCTCACGTTATTTGTATCATTTTCTTTATCACGCATCATGTTAACATTGAGAAATTGAAAACTGATCTACTTATCATTCAAAAGTCACAATCCATTTTGGAAATTGTGGTGGATGAAGTCTTTTACACTCATTAAGATTACATTGCAATACAGTAGGTCTGGTGTTCTAATGACCCGAATGAGAATAAAGTAACCAGTAAGAAAGTTTAACTTTTGATTAGCCCATGTAAGCAAAGAATCTGGCAGAAAAGTTGGTCTAAAGATGCTGAAATTTAGTAGAGATGCAGATAATGGTTTGGACTAATTAAATGTGAGCTACGACACCAAAAAACTAACCCAACACAAGCCTAGTCTTCTGAAGGTGAGAAAACAGATGAAGAGAAATATGGCGACCCAAGTAAAAATGGTAGAAGGATATGAACAATCCAAAGTTGACTGGAAAGAATAGGATGTTACTGGTGGGGCATGAATTTCAACAAAATTTTATTATAGTGAAGTCTTAATTCGCAATTATAGAAATTGTTGCACTCTACTGAACTTCACAAGTCAGTTTCTATATAACTCTTTCTTTGTGACAGGCCTTATTACTGACTAACTAACTACTCATGCTGTTCAGCAGTAGCTTTCTACAGGTCGGGTTCAGTTCCTCATTTTTAAAGCTAACGTTTGCAAGCTCACTCTCAGAATTAGTGACCGGCTTGTGATATCGAGTTTAGTTATCTTCCTGTGTGCTTCAGATTTGCGATGACTGTTTGATTAATATTCATGTTAACTGTTAGTGTAAATGTAAATGTAAATGTTAACCTCGCCTGGTTAACTAGTTCACTAGTTACTAGCCGGTCCCAAGACCGGGTAAAGAGGGAAGGTTGGTCATACGGCTAACAACCCTACCCCGGAAAACAAATCTAACCGCTGAAGAAACTTCAAAGCACAAACGATATATAAAAAATAAAAACAAACTTATTCCTCGCTGGAATCGGAAAGGCGAAATTATGCCAGATGGTGAAAGCCTGCCTTCGGAAAGCCAATTGGCCGATGTGTCTTCTCTCGATGAAAGCGAAAGTAAACGTGGGGACATGGAACGTCCGCACCATGTTTGAACCTGGCAAGGCTGTCCAGATTGTAAACGAGATGAGAAGGTATCACATTGAAGTGCTTGGAATTTGCGAAAGCAGATGGAATGGGAGTGGACTCTCCAAACTGTCAACTGGAGAATTAATAATCTACTCCGATATTGCAGAGCAAGAGAAAAAAGAGGAATTCTACAGACAACTTCAATCAACACTGGACAGGATCTCACCCCAGTTGACGACATCAAAATTCTAATGGGAGACATGAATGATAAAATGGGAGGGGACAACACAGGAAGAGAACTAATCATGGGTCAAGAAATGCTCGGTGAAATGAACGAGAATGGAGAATTGTTTGCAGAATTCTGTGCATTCAACGATTTGCTGATTGGATTCAGGCAGCGTGTTCAAGCAAAAGGATATCCACAAAGCGAGCGACATGGATTTCATCAGACACCAGGACACACTACACTGAAAATCAGATCCACTTCATCTCAATCTCAAGAAAATGGAGACGCAGTCGACTTGGCACAAGGTCAAGAAGAGGAGCAGATGAAGGTTCACACCAATCACTGTCTAGTGCAAGGAACCTTCCAAATCAAGTTAAAAGCCTTCAAGGAAGCTTGTGTTAGACCACAGTTCAAGTCGAACA